TGCCATAAACAATTGGAACATAGGGGAAAATCTGGAAAAACACAAAATAAAGTAATAATACAATGTCCAAAATTCAATAAAAATTATTAAACATGGAAAAAATTTTAAGAAACCATGCCCAATAATCAGGTTAAAAATGAATGAAAGGAAACCAGTAAAGAAAGAAATCATAGAGATTATATGATCAGCATAAAAGGACATTAAAACTGTTATTTTCAGTTTGGCCAAGGACTGAAAGAAAAGTTAAATAGGAGAAAAGTGGAAACTAAAGAAGAATCTAATATAGAAATAATCAACAAAGTTTACAATAGCAAAGACCTGGAACCAACCCAAATGCCCATCGACAATAGACTGGACAGGGAAAATGTGGCACATATACACCATGGAATATTATGCAGCCATCAAAAACAATGAGTTCGTGTCCTTTGTAGGGACATGGATGAACCGGGAAACCATCATTCTCAGCAAACTGACACAAGAACAGAAAATCAAACACCACATGTTCTCACTCATAGGTGGGTGTTGAACAATGAGAACGCATGGACACAGGGAAGGGAGCATCACACACTGGGGTCTGCTGGGGGGAAATATGGGAAGGCCAGCGAGAGTTGGGGAGTTGGGGAGAGAGAGCATGGGGAGAAATGCCAGATACAGGTGAAGGGGAAGAAGGCAGCAAATCATGCTGCCATGTGTGTACCTGTGCAACGATCTTGCATGTTCTTCACATGTACCCCAGAACCTAAAATGCGATAAAAAAAATATATATTTAAAAAAATAATCAACAAAAAGTCAACTAATAAAGAAAAACAAGTAGAACTTCTAAGCATAAAAATATAATATTTCAACTATGTTTAACAACATATTACACACTGCAGTAGAAAAACATCACTGAACTTGACAGGCATAGAAACTATGCTAAAGATATAAAATGCTGAGAAAAAAATTAACAGAGACTCAATAACCTATAGATTCAATGACCTAAATCAATCAAAATTCCAAGTAATTGGAGTTTCAAAAATAGAGAAATAAGAACAGAATAACTATTTGAAGAAATAGCCAAATTGTCCAGATTTAAAGAAAAATATCAAACCATATATCTAATAATCTTAATAAGGCCTAATAAAAAGAAAATTATCACTGACTTCTCATCAGAAAAAAAAAAAAAAAATAAAAAAAAAAAAAAAAACCTTCAACACATAACTCCAAATCCAACAAAAATGTTACTCAAAATAATATAAATAAATGACATTTTTAGGCCAAAAAAATAACCTAATGGAATATGCTTTAATTAAATCTACATTATAAGATGTGTTAAAGGAAGCTCTTCAGATAATAACTTGGAACTGCAAGTGGGAATGAAGAGGGTGAGGGGAGGGATGAGGAATAATGATGAGGAAAATTTAGAAAACAGCACAGCAGCAGCAGAGAAGAAAGGTATTGTAGCAGCTCAACTGGAATGTTATCTGTAATTTAAGTGGGAATCTTTATGCATCCATCTATCTGAGATTGCCTGTATTTACACGCACACGCATACACACATGCACAAACATCTTCAAAAATTTTTCTCTTACAAGGTTTAGCTTAATTTAAGATATATATTTTCAATAGAAGCTTTATTCAAAGAAAATTTAGTGCAGAAGGCCAATATAGACAGTATGTATAGTACAAGTAAAATTGTTCCTTACAAGGGAGCAGAAACCCTATTTATAGTCTTTCTCCTCCTGCTAAACAAAGTTTCTCTCGGAAAACTTAGTTTCCTCAGATAACAGAGAATGAAAACCATTGATATAATCAACTTGTATTGCTAGCTTTAAGAATCCCTATTTTTTACATTTCTAAAACTTTTACCAAATTATTAATAAGATGGTACCTAAAAAGATAATTTCAAAAACAATAAATCCAAAATAAAGATGAAACTATTTAAGTTGTTTTTGTAATACTGATTGACTATTTCTTAACTGATTCCAAACCAACTTTATTAGTTTTCAAAGTCCACTAATCTAAAAAGTCACTTAAATTGGGCTGAATCAGTTACAGTAGACGGCACAGACTACCATTAAAAAACAGAAATGGCAGATTCCCTCCTTTTGAGGGAATCCTCCCCAAATCATTTTATGAGACCAACATCATCCTGATACCAAAACCCAGCAGAGACTCAACAAGAAAAGCAAACTTCAGGCCAATATCCATGATGAACATAAATGCAAAAATCTTCAATAATATACTGGCAAACCAATTGCTACAGCACATCAAAAAGCTTATCCATCATGATAAAGTAGGCTTCGTCCTGGGGATGCAAGGCTGGTTCAACATATGCTAGTCTATAAATGTAATTGACCACATAAACAGAACCAAAGACAAAACCACATGATTATCTCAATAGATGCAGAGAAGGCCTTTGACAAAATTCAACAGCCCTTTATGCTAAAACTCTTGATAAACTAGGTATTGAAGGAACGTATCTCAAAATAATAAAGCTATTTATGACAAACCCACAGCTAATATACTAATGGGCAAAAACGGGAAGCATTACCTTTGAAATGTGGCACTAGACAAGGATGCCCTCTCTCACCACTCCTATTCAATACAGTATTGGAAGTTCTAGCCAGAGCAATCAGGCAAGAAAAAGAAATAAAGGATGTTCACTTAGGAAAGGAGGAAGTCAAATTGTCTCTATTTGCAGATGACATGATTGTATATTTAGAAGAACCTATTGTCTCAGCCCAAAATCTCCTGAAACTGATAAGCAACTTCAGCAAAGTCTCAGGACACAAATTCAGTGTGCAAAAATCACAAGCCTTCCTATACATCAATAACAGACTTAAAGAGAGTCAAATCAAAACCAAACTGCCATTCACAGTTGCTACAAAGAGAATAAAATACCTAGGAATACAACTAACAAAGAATATGAAGGACCTCTTCAAGGAGAACTACAAACCACTG